CGGGGGGGGGGGGGGGGGAACTGCTTTCCAGTGAGGCTTCCACCTATGCAATGGGTAGATGCGCATGTCTAGAGACAATTCTCATGTTCAGTTCTTAAACTGGGTGCCCGTTTTGTGCAAAGGAGGGAAACGTTCTGAAGTGACCACGGCAGGGCGAGATCAGGGCCCCGTCTTGACGCACAAAGAGATTTATTGGGGACAACTTCTATTAACAGCGTGCACACACATCCCAGCAGCCAGGGCATGCTCACAACCAGGGCCAGCGCAGCAGGGTTGAAATAGTTTAGCCACTGTGACCCGCGCTAGACACCTGCTGAAAACACAGACACACACACACACAGCGCCAAACTGTTTTCATCCCTGGCTGAGGGGCAGCAAACGAAGGGGGTGTTGCCACGGGATGCCTGCCGTTTGACCTCCATGGATCATTTCCTTAATGGAGATGGACGTAGCGTCAAAATAAATATTTTCTAAGTAAGGGGTTCCCTCCTGAACCCCCAGCCAGAACAGATCCATTTAATGGACCTTGAAAGCCACATCAGAATGTATAGGAGAAGGGGTCTTGAATTAAATGAGATTCAGACCTAAGGGCCTGGTGATATCTGTGGAAGCCAATTAAAACCACACCCTATGCAAGGCAGTGTTGTCTAAGGGATAGGGATTCTAGAGATTAGCCGCTGACCTACTGTGTGACGAGGGGAAGCCACTTCCCCTCCCACCCTTTAGATTGTAAGCACTTTAGACTGTAAGACTATCTTATGACGTGTCTGTACAGCACCTGACACACTGGGGCCTGGATCTCAGGCACTGCTGTACTCATTTTAAAAATAGTCTCCAAAGTCTGATGTGCTAGAAACAAGCATGTTGGCACTTCAGCTGCTAACCCCACTGACTTCCCACGAGAGCAGATGCTCAGAAGAGGAAAAAAAGAAAGCAAAAAAAAAAAAAAAAGGGGGGGGGGGGATCAGTTGAATTCAGCTAAAAATAAACCATAGCAGACAGTTAGGGTTTTGCAAGCTGATGGACAGCTCTGTTGTGTCACGCTGCCTCGCCACAAAGCGCATGCACAGACATGGTGTAATGACCTGGAGTGGACAACTGGTTTCAGTTTACTTTGAATCCATTTAAGGAACAATCAGAAGATCAACAACGCTGGGGGGTGGGGAGAAGGGGAGTGTTTCTCACAAGTACTACTGCCACGGTTTAAAAATTAAATCAGGTGAGGAAAAAAAAGAAATTAGAAAAGCCAGACACCCTGCATCAGGACATAGGGAAAATGGGACAGGAGGGTACAGAACTGTCCGGTTTCAAAGAGACGCTGCAGATCCTCCTTTAGCACAGGCAGGCTGCTTTGCATTTTGGTTTTTAAATGTATTTTTTGCCCACTGTGTCCGTTCCCCTCCCCTTTTGGTCTTCCCACACATTAAAGCAAGAGAAGCCATTTCCTCCCTTCCAGAATTTGTTTGTTGCTATGGCACAGTTGAGCTAGCTGCAGGAGAGAACAGGGAACTCCATCGATAACCCACATTGATCGCGTTGGGGAGTGTTAGGAAGTGGCTTTTGGTCTTGCCTGTACCGATGCGGTGTCGCTAGCCCCAAGTGTCCAAAAGCTTGAGAGTCAGGCCCCGCAAAAAATCATGGAATTTACACCATGAGGGCTAGAAACAATTAAAAATAAATAAATAAATCTGAGATTTGCACATAGTCTCGGAGCTGAAGTTCTAAGAGAAACAGCCAATACCACAAGACTCACAATTTAAGAACACACACACACACCCTCACACCAAACAAGGGAGTGTGGTGTTTGTCCTGTGTCTGTTGTCATCATTGGCACCAGTCCAGAATACTACCATCCTGATGGTGTCAGAATTCTACCCACCCATGCACCAGCTACACGAGGCAGTGGGGAAGTAGCCCTGGGATCCCCCAAAAAATACAATTAGAACAATTAAAGAATATTTGTATTGCCGTGGTGCCTCAGAGGCACAGTCATAGACCAGAAACCATGGAACAAATGGAAATGCAGAAGGAAAGACGGTCCCAGGCCACAGGGCCTACTTTAATTAGGCTTTAATTTACAATTACTTTAATTGTAACCCCACCTTCTTGAATGGATATGATCCCCATTTCACAGATACAGAAATTGAGGCCCAGAGAGAAGTGACTTCCCTAGGATCACACAGCAAATGAATGCAGTTTAGTGGCTAGGGCAGGGCTCTAAGAGTTACTGCCATTCACTTTCATTCCAAGTTCTGAAGGATACACGGACCATCAGTTTATTCATGACACACACACAATTACAAAAGGTTGGAAAGTATCCTTTTGAATTCTGAAGCTTTGTTGCTATTGAAGATACAAAGGGGGGGGGTGGAAATCTGCCAGAACATATTCTAAACAAGCTGCTTACAACATTAGCCTGTAGTTAAAATAATCTGAGTTCCGGGGAAAAGTGCACCTACTCAGCTTTTGGTGAAAGAAAAATCGCTGCAGGCTGTAACAGCAGCCAAACCACAGACATTAGGAATATGAAACAAGGATACTGGTGTAACTTTAAATATAAACTATTTCTGCTAGATCACAGCAACTTTTTAAATAGCACCTTTTGTCCCCCAGGGCCCCAAGCCACTTTACAAACTAAAATACAGAACATATCATGACATCCATCAGTGTAGGGCAGCCACCTCTGGAGCAGATGGAAGCAGCTGTTCTAACTGCACCCAGCAACTGGAAGCTACAGTCGAGGACAGGAAAAGAAGGAAAACACCATGGTAATTTGAATTCCTAGAGCCTCCAGGTCAGTAAATTATTTATATTACAGTAATAACCAAGGGCCTTAATTGGAAATCAGGGCCCCGTTTTGCTAGGCAGAGCCAAAATAAGCAAACAAATCTTAAAGAGAATGTGCCTGTCAATAAATTCCATTTAATATTTCCCACCAGCTGCCCTGATTAGAAGTTTGTGGTCTCATTAACGGGACGGACTAATATTAGCCACGAAGCGGCACAGTAACAACTCTGCAATCCTGACACACAATCGCTTTCCGGTGTCAGACCTCTGCCTCTCAAGAAGCAACCTCCAGCAAAGGTTTTGAGTTTGCAGAGGACAAGTCGAGATCCAGGACAGGGCTGAGATGCTGTGGGAGGGTGACTATAAAGCTGTGAAGCAAAAGATTTTGCAGTTGCGGGGTGGGACACGTGTGGAACGCGAGCCGTGCTTATTCCATGCTCGGCCCCAGACAGTGCGACTTGTTCTTCAGTTTCGTGAACACTAAATTCCCACATTTCTTTTTGAATTGTGATATTGACCCCATTGTTTTACTAAGGTGGATCTTAGTGAGGTAAACTGACAGGCAATGCAGGCTAGCACTGGAGATACCAGAGACTGCAGAAACCTGCCTTCTGTTCCCAGATCTGCCACAGACCTGCTGCTGCCTGACCTCAGACAAGTCTCAGCTTCCCCTCCAATACCGTCTTGTCCATTTACACACAGCTCCTAGCACAGTAGGTCTTTCGGTACTACTGTAATAACGATCAAACAGTAATAAGTCATTTAGATTCTAACAAGCACAGAATTTGTTATTTTTTGGGGCAGACACCTGGCCTAAATGGAGATTATGGGGAAGGGGGAAAAAGTTGTTACGTGACAGGTTAAATACGCTCTCTTACCACCCCCATTTTCATGCAAGTCAAGCTGTCCCAAGCTTTTCTATTTTGGAGGGTGGGTGGAAATCAAACTTCAGTCACTCGGCTTGAAAAAAAACACATGCAACAATTGACACAACTGGAAATGGCGTGGAGGCAGGACAGACACACACACACAAGCAATCGGAGAAGGGGGTTACATTTAAAAAGCCAGAAGTAACAAAGGTTAAGTTCAGACGTGGCAAGAAACAAGGCAAACAAAAAGACACTAAGAGTTTTGTATATCAAAAAAAAAAAAAGAAGAAAGAAAAAATCTAAAGGCAATTCCAAGGGCTTCCTTAGAGAATTTCTAGCAGCAGCATTCATATCCACCCCTCCCTCCCCAAATATGGATTTTATTTGCAAGTCAGCCCTGTAGAATCAATAGACCCTGATCCCCAACCATGTAAGCAACCGGGTGGGGGGGGAAATCACACAATCGACATGGTTTTACTGGGTTCTTTCTTTAACCTGCTACGTGAAGAGGGTTCCTCTAAAAATCTCATACACGGCGGGGGGGGGGGGGGGGAGAATCAGCCCCAGCAAAACTCAGGATTTGAATGGGGAATCGCCGGTGAGTGCCTGGAACTATCCAGGGCCTTTCTAGCTGGGGGGCGGGTTTGGGGTTTGAAATGCTTTGCCCTGCACGGGAAGGTCAGTGTCCAACTCTTGCTGGTGCGAGAAAAAAAAATGGAGCCTTTTGCAAAGCCAGAGACAAGCCCTTTAAAAATAAAACAGGCGGAGAGTTCGCATTTAACCCTCCCGGGGCGCGTGGCCCCTCTCCCCCGGGGAAAGGCTGCACGGCCTTTCACTGCACCACACCAGAGTCTTTGCTTCCCCCCCACGGGTGGGGGAGAAGGCCCTTTCCTCCCCCCCCCCCGCAAAAAGGGGGTCCGATCTCTTATTTGCCAAGAGGATTTCCTCCCAGAAGCACAAAAAGGGATCTTTGCATTCCAGCCCCAACCGGCTACGTTTCTTTGGAAGTTGTACAGAATTTAAAGGGGGCGCAAAAAAAAAAGGGGGGGCGCGTTGTCGGGTGATCGTGCTAATAAAGCCTCGACACTGGGGAAGTCGATAAAAGTGGCATCCAGCGCTCAGCTGTAGGAAATCCCCCTCCCCCCATTCATGCGGCAACTTTGTTTAGAGGGGACCCCCACTCCGCCCCCCTTTTTTTTTTAAATTTTTCCCTAATGCAAAAATAAAAGCCCCTCGCAAACCTGCGCCTCCTCCCAGCGACTTAGATTTCAGCCAGCGGGGTGGCCTATGGCTTTGAACCCACTTTAAAGGGGAGAAGGAGGAGAAGGAAAGAGCTTCGCTCACCCAAGGCAGCCGCTCCGCTGGGGAGCTCCATGGCAGCGCGAGCGTCCCCGGGCAGCTGGCCCACCTTGCTGCCCAGGAACCTGGCCGATCCTGGTTTCTTTTTCTTTTTTCGGTATCTCTCTTTTAATTGGGTTTGTTTTAATGCACCCCTATCTGGCCTGATTGGTAAATTTCTCATTTCAGGCAATGCAAGCCCTGGCCCCTTCCCCTCCCCCTTCTGCCTAAGGCGTGCTCATGGCTGGATAGACAAATCATTGGGTGACAAATAGCAATCAGATGCAAATTCCTAACCTCTGAATCAGAGACCTGCCATAGGAGTGGGCTGCCCAGCTAGGGACCATCTCCCATTTCCCCAGCGGCTCCCGAAAACGCGCAGAGGGTAGGGGCTGCCCAGATTATTCAGTGATAATTGGAGATTAAAAATCCCAGAAGCTGTTTTTGAGCCTCGTGGCCACCCCATTACCTGTTTTGTTTTGTTTTTTTTGGTACTTATTATCTTTGCAGGCACAATCCTTGTTCTAAGTGGCTGGTGTAATTTTGGTGTAAACTGTTGATCTGTAGGTTTTTTTTAATTACCTATTTGCAAAATTTAAAATTGAGGGCTCCATCCTGCAACCACACACTCAAGCCCTTTTAAAAGCTGATGGGGAGGAGGGGCTGTGTCCATTAATATTAGTTGCTTGCCTAAAATATTAGTTGCTTGCAGAATTAGGATTTTAAAGCTCTGAAAGGGGTTCAAACCCACGCAGGTCTGTGCCTCAGTTCCCCCATCTGGAAAATGGGGTGGGAAAGATACAAAGGGCTTTGAGATCTGCAGCTGAGAGTCTGCTTTTTGAGTTGTTTTGTTATAATTTGAAGTTTCCCATAAAGATTATACCCCCAAAGCATCAGAAATCATCCCCTAGACTCCTGACTCTGCATTTGTTTAGAAGATAAATACCGGTTTCTATTCTCTGCCCATGGGGTTGGATGTGCTGTCCATGGGCACAAACGTATATATAGACGTGGCTCCTTTAAATTTAAAAAAAAGAAAAGAAAAAAAGGCTGAAGCGTAACTGCCTTTAGGTTGGTGGTGTTGCACATTAGGAAGCGTCTCAAAAGAGCCCGGAAGGTAGAATTTAAAGGGGCACTCTCCATTTGACTTTTTGGGGGTTTTTTTTGCAAACACTCAAAGCACGTGTGTAATAACTTTACTCGCAGGAGAAGTTCCATTTACTGCAACTGGGGCTACTCCCATTACCCACCTGTGCTTAAATCTTTGCAGAATCAGCCCCTAACTCTTTTTTAAATTTTATTTAATTTTATTTTAATCTAGCTCTGCACTGATCGTTCTCTAAATAGTATGTGTCCTGGATTTGATTTTATTTTTTACTTTCCTTGAAATTTTCAGCTCCCTTGAAGATATTCAGAGGGATATTTCAGTCAGGGAAAAACTGAATAAATCTTAACATTTACAGGAGGTCAGACCAGAGGATCATAATGTTTCCCTTGATCTCCTGTACAACGCAGGCCAGATGACTTTCCGCGCGAGTCCTGCATCAAGCCTGTAATTTCTGTTTGAGCTACAGCCTCTCTTTGATTTGGTCTTTGAGCCCGCAAACAGGAGTAAAGACTACTCTGGGAAGTCAAATCAGCAGCTGTGACTAGAAGACACACAGGGAGCAGTGGGGAGGGTATAAAAAGGTGTCATTTTTATAAGAAAATTACAATACACAGCACAAAAAGAACAGGAGGACTCGTGGCACCTTAGAGACTAACCAATTTATTTGCGCATGAGCTTTCGTGAGCTACAGCTCACTTCATCTGTAGCTCAGGAAAGCTTATGCGCAAATAAATTTGTTAGTCTCTAAAGGTGCCACGAGTCCTCCTTTTCTTTTTGCGAATACAGACTAACACGGCTGCTACTCTGAAACCTATAAATACACAGCATGTTTCCTTTATGGATCTCAAAGCACTTTACAAAGGTCGGTCTCGCTGTCTTCGTTTCACAGGGAGGGAAACTGAGGCACAGAACGTTTACAGCCAAAAGCTCACAGGTGTGCCCACTGATTTGGGGTGTCTAACTTCAGACATAACAGACTATCATGAATCTGACACTCTGGTACCCCCAGTTTTCAGAAGTGCTCAGAACTCACTAGTCCAGCTGAATTCAGTGCAAATGGAAGGTGCTCAGCACAAGTGAGAATCAGGCACGAAGAGTCTGCCGCGGGGTCACTCAACATTTCTGCCTTGTGTTCACTAGAAAGAGAAATGTGTTTTTAACACATCGGCTGACACATGGTAAAATCCTACTGTGGACAAGGCAGCTGTAGTTTTAACACGTGTTAGCTGGTCAGTTACCTTGACCCCTAACACATATTAACCAGCCAGCTCTTGGGTTTCCTGAGAGTTGACAACACTGATTTAAGCATGTTCATTGAAGAGAAACTTTCACAGCAGCACTGTTGCATTTTGTACAGTGCCATGCACATTGCTGGCACTAAACAAATACTAAATCCAATTTATTTCCCAGCTGCAACCTCAATCACTAGAAGATCACAGCGTCCTCAGAGTCTGTATTGTTGTTTGGATTCCCTTGCGGATGTTATCCTTGCAACTATTTAATTTCATGCAGGAAATTAGTGTATTTCAAACAACCAAGTCAATACCAGGGGACTTGAATTTTATTTTTATAAACAAGTTATTTCCTGCTATAAAATTGCAATGCAGCAGTTTAATAGAAGGTCAAGAAGGCTATGAAGATCAACCCAGAAAGGTTCAAATAGATGCTTTTGTTAGGGACACAAGTCTCTGTTAACACAACCCAGTGGTTGCAATTTTAATTATTCAAAAAAAATCAAGAAATTCAAAAAGTTAGGGCGTACAGCTGCCTTGATCGGCAAACTGAACTGTATGCTTCACTTGACACTTTTGTGTAAAGTTAAGCACACTTCATTGTCACAGGGCACATACAAATGAGTCAGCCCGGTCTTATGGTTAGCGCTATGGAATGGGAGTCAGGACTCCTGCGTTCTTCAGGGCATCGGACTGGGACTCAGGAGACCTGCATGCAGTCTGGGTTGTGCCGGTGACCTGCTAGGCAGGTCACTTTCCTGCTCTGTGCCTCAGTTTCCCCATTTAGAAAATCTGACCTGTCAAGTGCTTTGAGATCTAGAGGTGAAGAGTGCTATATGAGAGTTAGGGATTATTGTCTTATATTATGGCTTGTGATGTTAACTGTAGTATGTGCTTGTCTCAGTTACAGCTGCCACGAGAATGCTAGGTCTTTCTCAATCATAACAGTGCATTAAGAATAATTATTTAACCTTGCATTTTGTTTCATTGTTGACAATAAAAACAAACTTACTAGTGCACAGGTAAAGAAAAGTACATTACCTAAACTAGGAAAGAATCCAGCATGTCTTAATAATTAGCACTTAATATGCCCAAAGCTCACTAAAACACCAATCAGTCCTCATAGATACATTGCAACACAGTCAAGTATCTTCCCCCCCCCCCGCCACAGTTTTTCCAGATGAGCAAATTAAGGCACACAGAAGGTAAGGCCAAAAGTTCCAGAAGGGGACACTAATTTTAGGCACCCAACCTGAGACATGGTGGGCCTGATTTTAAGAGGTGCTGGGCACCCAAAAACTCACCTCAAAAATCAGCCCAGGTTGTGTCAAGTTGTGGACCCCAACCTAGAGACCACTTTTGTAAAGTTGGGCCTAAGTGACTCGCCCAAAGCCACAGACGGAAGGAGAAGCTGAGCTAGGAATCAAATTCCTGGCTCCCAGTCCAATGTTCTGACCATACTGCCTCTCCTGCAAACTTTCGTGCCAGGCCCTGCTGCACAGATGATGATGCAGGACACACGATGCACAAACCAGAGGCCTTGGGGGCCCAGCAGAGAGAGTGAAAGACCTTCTGGTCCCAATTGTAGGGGATTTAAGTTGCATCAGGAGGCTAAAGGGGAGAAACGATGGGTTGGGAGATCCTGCGGATGAAGATCCAGATGCAGCTAATCATCTGCATAGCTGCTGTTCAGGATGACCTGCCCTCCATACGCACTGAAACTGGGAGAGAAAAAAGCACCCTGGGCATTTGCACTGAAATGTCTTAGGTCAGAACTTTATTACGACCTTTCAGAGCTCACCCTGTCATCCCCTTAGCTTCTTGAAGAGGGCGTGGTGAGAAGATGGAACATTTCCTGTGATGCAATGGGTTGCTCAGACCCAATGATCCTAGGAACCGTCACCTGAGTCCTAAATGTGAGCTGAGAGGCAGCTAACTGCTCTAAGCTGCTCCAAGTTACCAGCTGCATCAGAAGAAGGGGGGAGGATCTTGTTATGCCTTTGTCTAGATCCAATGGCTGAAAGGTGAAGTTGGTCAGATAACATTGGTCCCACAAGTCTGGAATTCTCTCTGCCAGTGGCCAGTATCTACTGCTGTAGAGAGAGACATACGTGCGGTGACCTGGACAATTGTGCAATGCTGGATGTGGGTGGGGCAAATTCCTTCCTGACCCCTGCAGGCAAACTGCTTATGCCCTGAAGCATGACATTTGATGATTACCCTTATCATAGAATGCATCATTATGGGTGTGATTTAGGATCACTACATCACACACCCTTTCCTTCTGGTTACTGCTGTGGTGAGCAACACAAGGATGGAAGGCACAAAACAAAATCCTGATTTTCAAGTAAGGTTAACTTTGTAAGGCAGAAAAATATCACAATTTTGTCTCATTTTGTTGTACTCTCCTGCCTGTCTGTATCCCTCTGTTGTCTCTTGTCTTATAGTTAGATGTAAGCTCCTTGGGGCAGAGCCTAGGGCAACCGAGTCTTGGTCCATAACTAAGGCTCCTAGGCGCTTTGCTAATAAAAATAAATAATAATGATGCAGGGAATGTTATGTAGTGGCTAAAGGAGACAAGGAGGAGTCAGGACTCCTGGGTTCAATTCTCAGATATGGGAGGGAGTATGGTCTAGTAGTTAAAGCTGGGGGTGGGGGGGAAGGGGACAGGGATTGGGAATCAGGAGTTCTAGATCCAAATTAATTCCTGGTATACCTATCATGATCTTATTTTCTTGTCTTTGCTACATGACATTGGGCAAGTCAGCTGATCTCTCTGGCCCAGATCCTCCAAGGTATTTAGGCCCCTATCTCTTCACATCTGGGCCTCAGCATTTCTGGGGATAACACCCTCTACAAGGGCCTACATGCAAAGGTTAAAGCACTATTCTGCAAATC